CGCGTTGAAACGATCGACTTACCATCGCCGATAGACTACGAACAACTATCTCAAGCACAAGAAAAGGACAGCAATATTCTCAACCTATGTAAACAAACAAATATTCAACTCAAGAAAATCGTCATACCTACTTCAAACAAGCTGATTTACTGCGAAGTATCGACGCCTCACATTCGTCCATACCTACCAGTTGACTTTCGTCGCATCGCATTCAACGCCGTGCACAATACAAGTCATCCTGGTATTCGAACTACACGCAAACTAATGCAGCAACGATACTTCTGGCCGTCTATGAACACCGACATTGGCGAGTGGGCAAAGTCATGCATTCAGTGTCAACAATCAAAGGTACATCGACATACGCACAGTGACGTCACATCATTCCCACCGAGCGAGCGTTTCGAACACGTACACATTGACATCGTCGGACCTCTGCCTACATCTTCGAGCGGACATCGATACCTACTCACTATGATCGACCGCTGCACCCGCTGGGCAGAAGCCGTCCCTCTGCGAGAGATATCAGCCGAAGTCGTCGCAAGAAAGCTGTATGAAGCATGGATATCACGCTTTGGTTGTCCTATCAAAATCACGACTGATCAAGGACGACAGTTCGAGAGCAGCTTATTCAAAAATCTCGCTCAGCTACTGGGAGTAGAAAGAACTCGTACTACTGCCTACCACCCGCAGAGTAACGGGATCGTAGAACGCTGGCATCGTACATTGAAAGCCGCGCTCATGACTCGACTCGCCGACAACAACAAATGGTTGATCGAGTTACCTACCGTGCTACTGGGACTACGAGCCGCTACGCGCACCGACACTAACACTAGTGCCGCTCAACTTACCTACGGACAAGAACTACGGCTACCCGGCGATTTCATATCGCCATCGCCTACCTACACGAAGATGGATAACGACTATGTGGCTGACTTGCATCGTGTTATCACAAGCTTAACGCCCGCTTATCAGTCGCACACTAACCGACTGAGTATCTTCGTGCACAAAGACCTGCAAACATGCAGCCACGTATTTGTACGTGACGACGCAGTTCGCAAACCGCTGCAACGTCCGTACAAGGGTCCGTACCTAGTCTCCAGCAGAAGCGACAAGTACTTCACATTACAAACACCTAGAGGTACTACCAACGTGTCTATCGAGCGTCTGAAGCCTGCCTACGTCATTAATTACGATAACTCGGACAACTGTGCAACGCTACCAGAGGCTATCCAGGATCAACCCAGTCAACCTCCGTCGAGCATCAGCGATGTACGAAAAACGCGAACAGGAAGAATCGTCAAGACCCCAGTACGCTTCGCTCGGGGGGGAGTACTGTAGCCGCACCGCACGACTACATACTTACCAGTTACCAGTACCACCGAATACCTTTCCATATACCAGATACCTTCCACAATACCTTTACCAAAGTTATAGACTCACTTCGTTTAAAGAAACAAGAAACCAATTGTCTTGAAAAATACAGTTTACGTTTTGACTCCGTTTTAAGAAACCAGAAACCAATTGTCTTGAAAAAGACAGTTTTCGACTTTCCTGCATAGAAACGATAATCATCACTGCGGCAACAGCGTTATCACACCGTGCCGCGAGCGATCGCTTCGAAAGAAGCGGTTTGGTAAAGCAAGCAGCCAAGCAGCGCAAGCGGAGCCGGAGCCGGAGGCCGGAGTACTTGCATTCATCTGTAGGTAGTCTTCAGTCTTCACTCAACGCCGGCTCTCGGAGAAATGCGCGCGCTCGCGCCGCGCGGTCATACTTATACGGAAGGAACCGATAGTGCCGTGTGCAAAGCGGCGCCCCGCACCCCGCGCGCCCCGCGCACGCCGGCGCGCCGCTATTGGTCGAAACTATTACCTAACTATATCTGATCTTGTCTAGTTGTAAATATGTAAATAGAAATATAAGTAGCGTAGTTTGGCGAAATAAAATCATTCTTGTCAACACCTCTCATCGGAGTTTTACTACTACTAGAAGATAAGAAGAAACCTCCTCTAGGACACTAGGCTCTCCTACCTAGCTCCTAAAGGTCTAAGTTCAACAAAAATTCGATAGCGCGACACAAGGGAGATAATGTTTCATTTTATCTATTTAATACTCCGGTAAATTAATGTAAATAAGTAGGTAGGTATATTCTCGACTAAAATATGGCTCCTATGATAGCCCACTTAAGAAATTATAGAATTAAACAAGGATATATAAATAGTACCTATCCTGTCGGAACTGGAAGGGACGAATGAACATTAAGCAACATGAAAATTAATTACATTAAACTTTAAAATAACATTAATTCTGCAACGGAAGGTAACTGTTACACTTGAGTACCTTTTATTATTTTAATGGAGTTAGTTAAGCAGTTAACGGATAAAGGAGGAAGGATATTTTAACCTTACCTTTGTCATTAAATAATTAACATAGAATAATTATAATATCCTATTTATTATCACTGTTATCGTTGACAGACGCAGACAGATATTTACTTTCAATCAGTTATCTGGAAATACTAAACTCAATATTTAATATATAAGTACCTACCTAGGTACCTACTATTTATGCTGCCCTAAATGGCTAGAAGCATTTTGAAGAGCTCCCCCATCATAGAAAAATAACAATTATAAACTACCTACATTTAAAAACACCGACATCAACCCCCTCTTTTTTAAAGTCAATATCCTAAAACCCTCTTAAGTGTAACAAACACTTTCCTGAAAACCGCATCAAAATCGGTTCAGTTATTGGCGAGATAACTGCGCACAAACAAACACACATACATACATACAGGACAGGTAGAACTGAGAAATCCTTTTTTTATTTTTGTAGTCGGTTAAAAATAACGGTACTTATGTAGCAATCTAATCACTAAAGCAAGATTTTGAATCAACGTACCGTTTGATCTTGATTGTATAAAACATTTAAGCGAAACCTCTCATGAAATGTGTAAGAACATTTTTGTTGAGAGGTTACCAACCCAAGTAACGCCGAAAATATTAAAAACCTCGCAAGTGATAACTTACCACCTACGATCCTTTTATACACAGAACAATAGCAGAAACCAAATAAACTCCAATAAAAGTTTATTAAACATAGTATTTTCGTTGTGGAAATGAAAGAATCTAATAAAATTTCTTCCCAACTGTCGCGGACTGCAGGACGGCTACTTAATAAAGCTAAATAGTATTCTCAACGTCTCGAGAGCTCAGGGCGGGAAGTGAATTTATTTCAATGTTCAATCTTCGTCTAAATATGCACTATCTAACTTGGACACTGAGCTGCACTCGTCTCAAACAATTTAACTTGAAACTGAGTTATAGTCGAGACCGAAGTGTTATTCCTTGGTTTGATAAAATAAAAAGGTCCTGACATAAAACGAACGTCAAACCAAGCATCATCATTTTAAAAATCCATCTACAATTTTCAAGACTAAAGAGAATAAGATCTCACAATTCGAAAACTTAATACAAAAAATGTTTGGTCGCCCCTACCACAAAGTTGTTGGTAGATTTAAAAGGCTTTGTTGCGCGCAAGTACTCAATAAAGGCGTCTTCATCCCAAGACTTTAACACTTAACAATTAAAATAGCTGATCAACGAAGTTTGCTCTGAATGCGAAAAGCGAGCTATTGTACTCGGTGCAACATCTGGGAACAACTTTAACTAACTTCGCACCAACCAATAAGTTTTATAAGTAGACTGTGATGCTAAGTAACTACACGGAAGCGTATGAAGGGAATGTTTTATATTTTGAACAAAAAATTATATGTGTGAGAGTCTTAGAGTAGGCAACATGTGTGTGATTTATTGGGTTTTTTTTGAGGAAGGATATGATTACCCCTTCAATGACTTCTTCTGCCCGGGTAAGGCGGGAGGGAGTGTCAGACTCTTATTAATAACTAAAAACCACCCCGTTCCTACTCCTGCACTTCGAGCCGGAACCCCTTTTTATGGGAGTTTCCGAACTTAGAACTGTTTTTTTGAATAGGTATGTGTAGGTATATGTAGGCTGTAAGTAGGTATCTATTTAACAACTATGTAGGTACCTTCCTATCAGTACCGAATATTAAATTATTCTATTGATTAAAACGTATATATAAAACCAATACTACAATAATTTATGACATCATCAACTACTAAAAGTTTTACTTAAACATTTTCCCACTATAAACTAAAAGATTTTATAAACTACATTTAACCCATTCCAGCTGCCTTATAAATTCGCGAGTCGGGACGCAGAGGAATTCTGCATTATGTAGAGGATTTGAGTGCGTCGGCGGGTCCCTCACCCACTGCTCTTTATAATTCCCACTGAAAGTACCTACGCCACGACCCAACTGACGTATCCTATGGTAATTTACATTCAATTCCTCGTTTTGTCCTTTCAAGAGGAACAAATTTTTTGATTGATAATTAGGTACATCTCTATTTTAATTTAATTACCTATGTACCAATGTAGGTACTGTTTCAGATAAATTCAACAAGCGGGATTTTCTATTTTTGCCTTTAAAGCTTAGAACACTGAACTGTTTCTTAGATTTTAAAATAAAACATTTTTTTGAAATCTGCAATAAGCAATTAATTAAACAATTTGTTTAAAATTAGACAGTAAAAAAATAATACACAAAGTAAAACTCTTATTATTTATGTTATGTAAAATTATTCAACAATTTGGCTCGGTGTAAATCCTAAATATAATTTGTATGTACATAACAATTAACCAAAAATCAGTTTTGGTTCACCATAACTTATTTACATGAAATTGCATATTTATTTATTTCATTTCTTATCATGAGATTTTTTCCTTTCCGATATAAGAATATTTGCTGCCGTTAACATTGTTATTGTGATTAAAAATGTTATTATTTTTCCAATTAACATGACATTTCATTCTATTGTATTCTGTATTGATAGAGAAAAATATAATAGTATAATATCCCTGTAAAATTAACTTCATACAGTCTTTAGTAATATTCTAGACATACACATATTGCGGTATTACAATTCATCAATAGATATGTATCCAAAATTAGTAAGATCATCTATCATTGTTGTTATAATTGTTTTATACTTTTCCACAGCCTTATCTTTCTCCTCCTTGGTACTCCAAACATGTTTGCTCCTCACATGTCCCTCCTCTTGCAAACCATTTGACAGCCATAGTGCGGTGTTAGCTGTTATCAAGCAAGCAGGTGCTACCACCTTCATGTCACTATCAAACATTTGCCTAGAATATAAGGTCTGTGATGAGATACCGGCCTCTTTTATTGCTATTTCAAACGTCCTGTAGTATATTTCCATCAGCTGCTGCAAGTATTTGTTCCTCAGCTCCGAGTTTGTACTGCTCAATATTAGATACATCACATCAAATGCTGGACTACACTTTCTTGTTGTTTGATAGTCTATCATGCATGCAGACACCGGCTTGTTACCCTGCAAAAAAAATACCGTTCCAATACACAACAGAAAAATGATGTATGGATGACCGAAACAATAAACAAAGATCATTATTATTTTGGAGAAGTAAGAAGTCTTTTTTTCATACTATCTTATAACCCTGTACATCAAGTCAGTGTAACAGCAATCCTAAGTAAACAATACTTGCCTCATATTTAAACATAATATTTTCTTTCCAAACATCCCCATGACAAATACAAGTATTTTGTACTGAAAAGACGGCGGCTTTAAAATATTTGGCACAGTTCTTCCTTAACTTTTGTAACACTGGGGTTATCTCTGAGGCCGGAAACTTTTTCAGTGCCTTATCTAGTCTATCTTTCATTATATCCATGTACCTTGAGTTTGTATTTTCAGTCAAAGGCACACATATAGTCATAATGTCCTCAAACTGCTGAGGTTTCTTATTTTGTAAAATAAATGACAGAGAATGCAGTTTAGCAAGACTCTTTAGAGATATCAGAGTGTGATCTAGATCCAAGAACATGTCATGTACATAGGGCCTATATCCTTCAACAGTCATGTCCTGCAGAGCTATAGCCTCCTTGAGGTATTCTTGGTGAACATAGTAGCATTTAGGTATAACATACTGGGACTGGATTGGCAAATGTTGTTGTATCTCCCTGTAGGCTTTGAGAAGAGTAGAATACACGTATGTTTCCCTCGCAAACATCACGGTTACGGCACCGCTCACTCGATACTCCTCGTTAATCGGCGCCAATTTTAAAACTATATTGTATGACACTGAAAACCCATTACGTGTACCGGACAATGTGATCGGTATTAATTCTCCAAAGTAATTCTGTGCCATATTCACAAACTTTTCTTGTACAAAACTCCAATTACTGAGCTGACATACTATTGCTATACGACGTACTACACCACTTAAATAGTCTTCGGAAATATGTGACATGTTGAACCGGTCTATGAAGATGTGTTAAACGCTTTGTTTAAATAACTTTTATAATTTATTTTGTTGTTTAACCAAAGTGTTTACTTAGATCTTGAAATTGGTAAACAAAAGATTTGAACACAACACAATGAAGTGACTTTGTATTGACTTGTATTGACAAAGACAATCTATCTCAGATATCAGCCATCTGAAGCTGTCAATGTCAAACGCGGTCACACAAGTCAAGAAATAATACAGATAACGCATAGGAAAAAACTTTTACAATTATTATTTAAATGTCGCTGGTCGCATGTCGGTATTGTATGGTATTAAAATGATGATTTTGTTATAGGAATAATAGATTCATGAATTTTCACTATGAATAGCTACCTGTATAGGAAACCTAAGCAATTACTACCTACCTATTACTTCTCAAAAACTTTTCAGTTTATCCGGCAAATTACTACTCTTATCAAAATAATATGCTAAGCTGTTGAAATATTAATGAAACCGTTGGGTTAGTTTAGTGAGAAGGGTCAACCGTTAAAAGATTTAAATGAATGCAAAGCGAAAATGAATAAGACCGCCTTCATTTTAATGGTTTTCCTTCCATTGTAACTAACTAAATGTTGCAAAACTAATTGTCGAGCTGATACCTACAGCGAAACTTGAGTATGGATCTGTGTATTATATTAAAATTATGGGTAATAAGTAACAGAGTACAAAATGAAAGATCATCCGAAGGACAGCAAAATGCAGTGTATGCAGGCAAATCGATGCCCAAACATTGTGCGGATCGAGTGTAGGTAGGTACAATCAGTATATTCCTATTTGTTATTAATATCCATTAGAGCACTGGACTTTCTGTATGAGTCGGTACCTAGTGACTATAAAATAAAACCCGATTAAACTCGGAATAATTGAATTGAACTACGAGTAAGCATTACAGCACTACGGCAGCTGGCAAAAATAATTATAGCAGACATAAGCTGTAGAACAACACCTGGGACGACAGTTTTATGGCAAGATCAACTACATACAAGAAAATTGCTCCCCTAATGGACTCACATAATAACGAGATCTTAGAGCAATGTTACACCTGGATAGTCTACCTACACACTATTAGGTACCTTCACGCAAGTACCTAGGTACTTACTTAAACGTATTAAGTTTTGTTTTTCCTGATAACTATATTACTACCAACCCAGTCGGGTTAGGTAGGCATTATTTTGTTTGTTTCAAACACGCAGTTACAAACTACCTACAAGTATATTCACAGATGGCAATTGATCAACTGATGTGAACAAGAAGCCGTTGTTTTGTAGTGTAGACAAATATAAATAAAAGACATCAGAACAGCCTTTATCACGATTATTGGAACATTGCCTATTAAGAGTTTCCTATTACTAACGTAGGTAGTACTTTCATAGGTACTTTCTAAGATTTACCTACAAACTACAAACAAACCTGTACCTACATATGCCAACGGTAAATTTACTTTTATAAGATTTTTTTACTATTTAAAATAAATTATAGAGAGTTGTCAAAATAGAGTAGAATCAAATGCTGCTCTACTTACGCAGATTTTGGTATAATTAATCAACCTTTAACGTTTCTCCTGTCAGGACACAGGCCTCGTCTCCGGGACAGGTTGTAATCCATCATGCGGGCCCTGTGGATTGGTTACAACAAACAATATTACATACCGACAATACTATATTAGTAGGTTAGGTGAGCAAATAATTTAGGGCTCTCCCAGGATGACCATTCCTTCGACGACCGTCAACCGTACTAAATGTATTTTAAATTGAAAACTAGGTCGTGGCATGGATCGTAAAAAGAAGTGTGGACTTCTATTTTTGCTTTGTAGATACAAGAAAAAGAAACAAATAAGATAAGGTTTTGATGCACGATGCGAATGAATTCGCAAGTTCTTGCGATGCGTAGATGGAGCTCGCATATCGCAGTTTTTTGTACCTACGAGCCCTTAGGTGGAAATAGGCTTACTGAAGGTTACAGTCATCGGCAAACGTCCGGATTTTTTCGGTTTTAGTAGGTGACTTAGTAGCAAGTCGTGGTGGCCCAGACGCCCGCTTCTCATGCATGAGGGTGCGGGTCTGAAACCTACCAACAGCAAGTACCAACGTGACTTTTTCCGAATTATATGTACTTTCTAAGATTATTCAAACACCACTGATAATCGGTGAAAGAGAACATCGTGAGGAAACCTAAGCTTATAATAGTTATAATTTCTAAATATAGGTAAGTTTGAAATTGTCAACCCGCATTGAGCAAGCGCGGCGATTAATGCTCAAACCTTCTCCGTGTAGAGAAGCCGTTGGTCAGCAGTGGTCACTTATACGATGTTGATGAATGATGATGATGCCTTAGTAGGTTCGAAACTGTTGACTGGCGTATGCAAGAAATAAGTTCACCATAGACTCATAACATGACTGGTAGAAAATTGGTATTGCATCGTAGGTACTTACATATCTATTTTCTCTCTTCTTCGGAGATTGAAAAGCGTGGTGTTACGTTACGTTGTGCTGATTTGAAATTAGAAAATTATGTAATGCGACTGCCAATGACCTAATTACAATATCACCTATTGTTTAACTCGTCGAGTACCGGTTTTATAGACACAATTAAAGAACAATAGGTCGCGGTTACCGGTGACCGCTTGGTGTTTGACAGTTTAAAGCAGGATGCTTGACATATGTATGTACCTGATTTTATGCATGTGTTGTGTATGGTATGTGTTGTAGTTGCAACGAGTGGAGTCATCTAACAATTGACGTAGAATCACAGGTCAATAATGGGTCAATGATCTCCTTCTTTTAACATAAAATTTCCTTAGATTTATATTTTGCACATTTTCAGGCTTCTACAATATATTTTCAGTAAAAATTAAAACTATAATATTATAAAACATCATTCTTAAGTACCTGTACCTCTACTGTAGAAAAATGGGACCATAAAGTGAGAGTTAAATAAAATTATTTCCAACAAAGAATCAATTACGTATATAAAATTAAAAACATTGAAAACACTAACTCGCTTACTGGAGTACTAATAAGAATTTAAAATTGAACAGAATAACCTCTGTGATAGATACTCTTACTTAACAATAAAATACTTTCAGTCTCATTCAAATGAAGTCGTTTGTATCTAAGAGTTTATAAAAAAAGGTCAAGTGCCAGTGGGATTTATGTGCTAAGGGTTTTATTACATGATCGACCACAAAACGTTTAAAAATCTTTAATAAGTTGGCAACAGAATTAACCATCGGTTTCCGACGGTGCAATGTTTTATTTTTTTAAGGGGGGAAAATCATCGAATGACTGCTCCCGCCTGGGTGAAGCGGAAGGGAGTGTCAGACTCTTACTGACTAAAAACCACCCCGTTCCTTCTCCTGCACGTCGAGCCGGAGCCCCGGTTACCCGTTAGGTTCTCCGCGACACGTTGCAATGTTTAGCTGTTACAAGTCACAAGTAGGTACCTAGTTCATGAGATACAGCAGGCAGCTACCTACTAAAAGACCAACGGACATCAACTGTCTATTTATTCTGTATATAGCTGTCTATGCACGACACTAAAAACACACCTTAGGTACTGTCTTACAGTCACATACTTGATGTTTGTTTAATCGTTGGCAACATTCAGGGATACAATAAATGACAGAAAAACGGACAACGGAATTTAATATCAGATCCCTTGGTTTTGGCCCTCTGGATACAGATCCCTAAAAAAGAATCAAAATAATTTGCCCAATTCTTACGAGTACATCACTTGGGGAACCTTTTGCTTTCTTTATTGAGCTCATTTGTATCGAGTCCTCTCTTCGAATGACGCACATACATACGCTGCCTACTGTATTAATTTAAATAATCCTGAATTTTACGTAGGTACCATACTTTTATGGAAAATACATACATTTCGGAAGCAGTTGATAGTCCTGAACTAAGTATACCGTTCGGGGCGTTTCCAATAAAAACAGAGATGTTCAGATAAAAAGTTCTGAACGGGACCCCTTCGAACTGGGGGCCCACGACATTTTGCCGACTTGTCACCCTGCAGTGTCACCAGTGGCGTAAGCCACTGGTTACAAGTAGGTAAGTACTACTTTAATTAAACATGAAATAAAATATTCACAAAATAAATGTACTGGGCAAGAAAATACTTCTCTTATCAATCATTATAAGCTTCGTTCTGAAGATTCGGAAACCAAACAATTAAACTGTAAGCTGGCGAATTAGCCAACTAATAAAACTTTGAAACCCATGTTTCAGTGAACCGAAGTTCTGATAGTCGGTCACGCGAAAAATTCAAATTTTCCACCGAAGCACCGCTGAAAAAATAACAATAATGTTTCATAATGACTGTTATCACAAACTTCCTTCCTTACTTCCTGAAAATTTTTGACTTTCAAATTCAATCACGATAACGATTTTGAAAATTGTATTTTAATGTATAAATACTTACAACAGTCGTAACAATTGACGGAATCTCTTTTTTGCTTCGTTCTTTAACTTACGCCCGAATATCGAAACACTTGTACTTAAATATCGTTCTATCTCTGTCATTTTTCAAAGAGTTTGTAGTGACAGAAGTATTGTTGAGAGCGTTCTAAAATTAAGTGGCTTCCTAAAATTAGGTATATAACTAAAAGTCATACATCACATCTATTACGCGGTTTCACCCACTGCTCGGCTCATATTGACGTAGTGTGTGTTTTATAACCTAGAGCATTGATAGCCTTCCTCAAAATAATTATTCAATTTCAACCGGTACTTTCAGAGATTCATCATCATCAGCCTATAAATGCCCACTACTGAGCAAAGCCTCTTCTCACACGGAGAAGGTTAGAGCATTAACCACCATGAATTGATCAATCAACGCGGGTTGTGCGATTTCAAACA